GAGGATTTAGGGTGCGATGAAGGTGGGAGGATTTGGGATCCTTGGGGGGGGTGCAGGTTCAATTTCATGTTTGTATTTAATACTTTTGCTGGTCTGCTTGGGGAGGGGGCACCTCGAAAACCTGCGTTACCCCATGGTGGAAGGAGGGCAACCCCAAAAACCTGTGTAATCCCGTGGTGGAGGGGTGGACACCCCAAAAACACGGGTAATCCCATTACGGGAGGGGGCGGGACACCCTATAAACCCACATTATCCTAAGGTGGGAGGAGGGACACCCCAAACACCCATGTAACCCCATGGTGGGACTGGGGAGCATCCTGAGAAACCCATGTAACCCTATGGCGGGAGGAATGGGGTACCCCAAAAACCCAGGTAACTGCATGGCTGGGGGGAGGTACCCCAAAAACCTGCATAACCCCATGGCGGAATCGGGGGGTACCCCATAAACCCATGTTATAGCACGGTGGGTGGTGGGGAGCATCCCAAAACGTTGTGTAACTCCATGGTGGGAGTGTGGGGGCACCCCAAAACCCCCAGGATTTGGGCAGGGGCCTTACCCTACGCTGTCGTCCCCTCCCCGTCCCCGCAGCCGTGGGGAAGTCGACCTTCCTGAAGCTGCTGGGTGCCACCTTCCCCTCCTGGCACCTGGTGACGGAGCCGGTGGCGCAATGGCAGAGGGTCCCGGCCGGCACCGAGGTAACGGCAGCTCCTGGCTGCGTTTTGGCACCGTTGAGTGCCACGGTGGGACCCCCTCGTCCCTCAGCCCCAAACCTCGTCCTTCACAGGGCGCCGTGGGCTCCACCAACCTCCTGCAGATGATGTACGAGGAGCCGGCGCGCTGGTCCTACACCTTCCAGACCTTCTCCTGCCTCAGCCGCCTGAAGGCGATGCTGACCCGCCGGTGCCCGAGGGGCATCCCGGGACCCCCTGCCCCGTGCGGGTCTTTGAGCGCTCCATCTACAGCGACAGGTACCTGTGTTAATGAGATGGGATAACGAGTGTTTGCACCGGGTTGTGTCCCCTGGGGTGAGCAGAGCTGTGGTCCCCAGTGAAAGCCAGAACAAGTTTAATTACAGAATTGGATAATTTAGGGGCTTTGTTATCCTCTAAATAATTCTTGCTCCTCACTGGTGGCTCAAAATCCTTGGGGTGATGGGTGAGCTGGGTTAGCGGTGACCACACTGATTTGGTCAGCCCCAAATTAAGGATTTCCACTTTAATTTCAGCACCTCTTGGTGCTAAAAGGAGGCAAAAACGGGCGTGGGGATGGCTCGGAGGTGCCACCGCCCGTGATGCCACCGCCCTGTCCCCTCTCCCCGTCCCAGGTACGTCTTTGCCCAGAACCTGTTTGAGGCCGGGCACCTGCAGCCGCTGGAATGGGCCATTTACCAGGACCTGCACGGCTTCCTCCTGCGCCAGCTGGGCCCCCGCGCCGCCCTCCACGGCTTCCTCTACCTGCGGGCATCACCCCAGGTGGGTGCTGGCCACAGCCCCCTGCCGCATATTCGGCAGGGAGCAGAGTGCAGGAGGTGTCTGGCTCGGCTCAGAGCCCGGTGAGCTCCTGGGATCGCCCAGATGTTGGGGTTTAACCATAAATTGGGGACGCAGATGAGTGGGGGCTGCTTCTGTTCCTGTGGGAATGGTGATGGGAGTTTTGCGGCGGGGCCTAGAGCGGATTTAGGGGAGAGTGGCAGCACCCTGAGGGGGTGCCCGGCTTCTGCCCCCCCCGGGGCTGCTTTGCTGGACACCAGCATCCACAGAATCACAGAATCCCAGACCGTTAGGGATTGGAAGGGACCTCAAAAGCTCATCCAGTCCAATCCCCCTGCCGGAGCAGGAACACCCAGATGAGGTTACACAGGAAGGCGTCCAGGCGGGTTTTGAATGTCTGCGGAGAAGGAGACTCCACAACCTCTCTGGGCAGCCTGGGCCAGTGCTTAACGTTCCCTTAACGTCCCGTCTCCCTGCATCCTGTGTCTCCATCTCCCATCTCCCCTGTTAACCTGGTTCACCCACATCCGTTAACCTCCTACCTCCCCCGTTAACCTCCTGTCTCCCCCCATTCCCTTACCCTCCCTCTCCCATCTCTGGTGTCTCCCGTTAACCTGTCTCCCTACATCCCATTAATTCCCCATCTTTCCCCTTAACTTCCTATCTCCCCCTATCCCATTAACCTTCCTCCTCCCCTGTGAGTCTCCTATTTCCCTGCATCCCATTAACATCCCATCTCTCCCATCTCTCCCATTAACCTCTCGTCTCCCCCATATCCCGTTAATCTCCCGTATCTCCTGTTAATCCCCTATCTCCCTGCATCCCATTAACCCCCCTCTCCCATCTCTCCCATTGACTTTCCATCTCTCCGGTCTCTCCTGTTAACTTCCCGTCTCCCTACATCCCATTAATTTCCCATCTTTCCCATTAACTTCCCATCTCCCCCCATCCTGTTAACCTCCCGCCTCCCCCGTTAACCTCCTATCTCCCCACATCCCGTTAACATCCCATCTCTCCCCTTAACCTACCATCTTCCATCTCTCTGATCTCTCCTATGAACCCTACCTCCCATTTCCC